ATATATATATATATATATATATATATATTATATATATATATATATATATATATATATATATATATATTATATATATATATATATATGCCGTGCCGAATATGTAAAACTGGTCAATTAGCAAGAACTTATTTAAAATTAAGTCCTTTCTAAAATTTTCTCTTATACGTTTAAAAATTTATAATTTTGCACCAAAGAAACTTAGAAAACTTACCTAACCTTATATAACAAGAACAATTTATTTTAGCCTAACCCAACTAAATATATTTTAGATTTGTTTACAATAATTTAATACTAAACAAACACAGTGAAATATATTTTTTTCGTTAGGTTCAGAATGATTTTGGCGAAATTATTGCATACACAAATTTTCACTTGTCCTATATGGCAAGATGAGCGTTGCTATTTAAGCCAAGATCGCAAGTTCTGCCTATTCGCACGACATATATATATAATATATATATATGTGTGTGTGTGTGTGTGTGTGTGTGTGTGGTGTGTGTGTGTGTGTGTGTGTGTGTGTGTGTGTGTGTGGTGTTGTTGTGTGGTTGGGTGTTGTGTGTGTGTAGTGTGTATGGTGTGTGTATATGTGTGTGTGTGTGTGTGTGTGTATGTGTGTGTGTGTTAGAGAACATTCAGAGAAGAATGACAAAATTATTCCATTGCATAAGAAACCTTCCATACAATGAAACACTGAAATCCCTTAACTTACATTCTTCTGTAAGACGTAGAATGAGGAGAAACATGACTGAAGTGTGTAAGTGGAAGATGACCGTGACTGGAACGATACACAAATAACCCGCGACGACGTTTCGGTCCGACTTGGACCATTTACAAAGTCACACTGGTTTGGGTTTGGGTTTGATAAAGACTTGCCTAGCATGGACTAGCAGGCCTCCTGCAGTGTTCATCTCATGCTCTTTTGAGTCACTCTACTTTGACCAAGGATGAAAGAATTAGTATTATCACAAGTGACAAGTGAGAACAGAGAAAAAGAGAGAGTGATGCAGTCTTGACGTCAGATACTCACTCGGTTGTGTAGTGTCTCCTCTGTGGCTCGACGGAAGGACGCAGACAGCAACCAGAATATAAAGATCACCACCACACCACCGCCCACACTCACCACCCACACACCGTAGTCCAGCCCACCAGGAATCTGCCGAAAATATCATCCGTCACTCTCAACTGCACAACACCGAGGTGTCCCACCAGACTTATCATTGGAATAAAGGCGAGCTGCGAAGAGAGGCATTGAATTAATCTTTACAAACTGTACACACAAGATACATACAAAGGGTGTCACCACAACACTAGGAAACACTGAGAGGACGTAATCGCAACACAAGATACATACAAAAGATGTCACCACAACACTCGGAAACACTGAGAGAATGTAATCGCAACACAAGATACATACAAGGGATGTGTCCGAGACTTAGAGAATGTAGGAAGGAAGGTTGTGAAGGATGAGTGTGTGTGTAACACACTGAACGAATCTGAGGAGAACTCTTACTCATTTCTGCAACTTTGCAAGCTCCTGATAACGTGCTTATCTACAACACAAAAGGCCTAGAGCAATTATTCAACTCCCATGTGGTTATTTTGCATACATACATATACATATATACTGACTAATGATAGTAATGGTAGTGAGTAATCGTAACTAACCCAGGAGTTGGTGCAGGCGGCTATGATCTGTCGTAAGGTCCAGGGTGTGATGGTGATGATGAAGGACAGAGAAACGACAGCCATCACACGACAATTTCTCAGTCGCTCCTGTCGCTCCTCCAGCATGGCCTGCAATATAATAAATAACTTAAAAGAGCTTCTTGGTGAGTTCATGCTTATAGAAGGTGTCTAGACTCTTCCTAGAAGACTTACTTCTCCCAGGCTAAGGGACTCCACATATTGCACTGGAGGTGGACCATATATATATATATATATATATATATATATATATATATAATATATATATATATATATATATATATATATATATATATATACATATAAATGTGTGTATGTGTGTGTGGTGTGTGTATGTGTCTGTGTGTGTGTGTGTGTGTGTGTACTCACCTAATTGTACTCACCTAATTGTACTCACCTAATTGTGGTTGCAGGGGTCGAGACTCAGCTCCTGGCCCCGCCTCTTCACTGATCGCTACTAGGTCCTGTCCCTCTCTGCTTCCTGAGCTTTGTCATACCTCTTCTTAAAACTATGTATGGTTCCTGCCTCCACTACCTCACTTGCTAGGCTATTCCACTTCCTGGCGACTCTATGACTGAAGAAATACTTCGTAACATCCCTGTGACTCGTCTGAGTCTTCAGCTTCCAGTTGTGACCCCTTGTTTCTGTGTCCCCTCTCTGGAACATCCTGTCTCTGTCCACCTTGTCTATTCCCCGCAGTATCTTGTATGTCGTTATCATGTCTTTCTTGACCCTTCTGTCCTCCAGTATCGTCAGTCCGATTTCCCCCAACCTTTCTTCGTACATTTCCCTGAGCTCTGGGACTAGCCTTGTTGCAAACCTTTGTACTTTCTCTAACTTCTTGACGTGCTTGACCACGTGTGGGTTCCAGGCTGGTGCTGCATACTCCAGTATGGGCCTAACATACACAGTGTACAGTGTCTTGAACGATTCCTTATTAAGGTATCGGAACGCTATTCTCAGGTTTGCCAGGCGCCCGTATTCTGCAGCAGTTATTTGGTTGATGTGTGCCTCCGGTGACGTGCTTGGTGTTATGGTCACCCCAAGGTCTTTCTCCCTGAGTGAGGTCTGTAGTCTTTGTCTACCTAGCCTATACTCTGTCTGCGGTCTTCTTTGCCCCTCCCCAATCTTCATGACTTTGCATTTGGCAGGGTTGAATTCGAGAAGCCAGTTTCTGGACCACATGTCCAGCCTGTCCAGGTCTCTTTGCAGTCCTGCCTCATCCTCATCCGATTTAATTCTTCTCATCAACTTCACGTCATCTGCGAACAGGGACACTTCAGAGTCTATTCCTTCCATCATGTCGTTCACATATATCAAAAATAGCACTGGTCCTAGAACTGACCCCTGTGGTACCCCGCTCGTAACAGGCGCCCACTGTGATACCTCTTCACGTACCATGACTCGTTGCTGCCTCCCTGTCAGGTATTCCCTTATCCATTGCAGTGCCCTTCCTTTTACGTGTGCCTGATCCTCCAGCTTCTGCACTAATCTCTTGTGGGGAACTGTGTCAAAGGCCTTCCTGCAGTCTAGGAAAACGCAATCTACCCACCCCTCTCTCTCGTGTCTTACTTCTGTTACCTTGTCATAAAACTCCAGGAGGTATGTGATACAAGATTTGCCTTCCATGAACCCATGCTGGTTTTCATTTATAATCTTGTTCCTTTCCAGGTGCTCGACCACTCTCCTCCTGATAATCTTCTCCATGACTTTGCACACAATACATGTCAGAGACACAGGTCTGTAGTTTAGTGCCTCGTTTCTGTTTCCTTTCTTAAATATGGGGACTACATTAGCTGTCTTCCATTTCTCAGGTAGTTGCCCAGTTTCAAGGGATGTGTTGAAGATTGTGGTTAGAGGCACGCACAGCATCTCTGCTCCTTCTCTAAGGACCCATGGGGAGATGTTGTCCGGTCCCATCGCCTTTGAGGTGTCAAGGTCACTTAAGAGCTTCTTCACCTCCTCCTGAGTTGTTCGTATGTCATCCAACACTTGTGGTATATTCCCTCTTGATGTTCCCTTCTGTGCTGTCTTCCCACAGCCCTTCCTGTCTCTACTGTAAAAACTTCCTTAAATCTCCTGTTCAGTTCCTCACATACCTCCTGATCATTTCTTGTGAGTTCTCCACCTTCTGTCCTTAATCTGATCACCTGGTCTTTGACTGTTGTCTTCCTCCTGATGTGGCTATACAACAGTTTCGGGTCAGTCTTGATTCTCGATGCTATGCCATTTTCATACTGTCGCTGGCCTCCCTCCTTACCTGTGCATACTCATTCCTGGCTCTGCGACTGATCTCCCTATTTTCGTGTGTTCTCTGCCTTCTGTACTTTTTCCATTCTCTATTGCACTTTGTTTTTGCCTCCTTACACCGTCGGGTAAACCAGGGGCTCGTTCTGGTCTTCCCGTTGTTACTGTTGCCCTTGGGAATAAACCTTTCCACTGCCTCCTTGCATTTTGTTGTTACATATTCCATCATTTCATTTACTGGCTTTCCTGCCAGTTCTCTGTCCCACTGGACCTCCCGCAGGAAGTTCTTCAACCCTATGTGTGTGTGTGTGTGTGTGTTTGTGATATGGGATTTCCCGTCTCTGAATCCATGCTGGTCATCGTGAATGAGCTCAGTCTTTATTAGGTGGTCCATCACTCTGTTTCTGATAATCTTCTCCATGACTTTGCATACAAATCAGTGACACTGGTCTGTAGTTTAATGCTGCGTGTTTGTTCCCTTTTAAAAACTGGGACTATATTTGCTGTCTTCCACACCTCAGGTAGTCGCCCTGTTTTGATAGATGTGTTGAGATTGTTGTTAGTGGTACACAGAGCGCCTCTGCTCCCTCTCTCAGACCCACGTAGTACTCACCTAATTGTACTCACCTAACTTGTACTCACTTAATTGTACTCACCTAATTGTGGTTGCAGGGGTCGAAACTCAGCTCCTGGCTCCGCCTCTTCATTGAACGCTACTAGGTCCTCTCTCTCCCTGCTCCATGAGCCTTATCATACCTCGTCTTAAAGCTATGTATGGTTCCTGCCTCCACTACGTCACTTGCTAGACTAATCCACTTTCTAACTACTCTGTGACTGAAGAAATACTTCGTAACATCCCTTTGAATCATCTGAGTCTTCAAATTCCAAATGTGAACCTTTGTTTCTGTGTCCACTCTCTGGAACATCCTGTCTCTGTCCACCTTGTCTATTCCACACAGTATTTTGTATGTTGTTATCATGTCTCCTCTAACCCTCCTGTTCTCCAGTGTCGTCAGGCCGATTTCCCTTAAACTTTCTTCATAGAACATTCCCCTTAACTCTGGAACTAGCCTTGTCGCAAACCTTTGCACTTTCTTTAATTTTTTGACGTGCTTGATCAAGTATGGGTTCCAAACTGGTGCTGCATACTCCAGTATGGGCCTGATGTACACAGTGTACAGTATCTTGAACGATTCCTTACTATGGTGGAACAGACAAGGTGGACAGAGACAGGATGTTCCAGAGATGGGACACAGAAACAAGGGGTAACACTTGAAGTTGGAGACTCAGATGAGTCAAAGGGATGTGTGTGTGTGTGTGTGTGTGTGTGTGTGTGTAGACGTCTTTCTGATCCGTATATCAGTACGTCTTTCTGTTCATATATATTTGTTAATACCTTCACCACTCACCACCTCACCAGTGCTTCACCACTTACCACCTCACCAATGCTTCACCACTCACCACTTGACCAGTGCTTCACCACTCACCACTTGACCAGTGCTTCACCACTTACCACTTGACCAGTGCTTCACCACTTACCACCTCACCAATGCTTCACCACTCACTACTTGACCAGTGCTTCACCACTCACCACTTGACCAGTGCTTCACCACTCACCTTCTCTACCAGGGCTCCACCGAGGATCTCTGGGGAGGTGACGGTTGCGCACACAAGCCTTTGAAGGGAAGTTGCCCGAGCCATGTGGAAGACAGTACCGTAGCAGTACATAGTAACCTGTGGAAGACAGTACCGTAGCAGTACATAGTAACCTGTGGAAGACAGTACCGTAGCAGTACATAGTAACCTGTGGAAGACAGTACCGTAGCAGTACATAGTAACCTGTGGAAGACAGTACCGTAGCAGTACATAGTAACCTGTGGAAGACAGTACCGTAGCAGTACATAGTAACCTGTGGAAGACAGTACCGTAGCAGTACATAGTAACCTGTGGAAGACAGTACCGTAGCAGTACATAGTAACCTGTGGAAGTAACGCTCTCAGACGCAGTTTAACATCAGACATCTCTCTGTTTTAGTCATCAACGGCAACAAAGGTATCACAAGCTTTTGTTAGGACAATGTTCCACTCTGTATAGAGCTTTAGCAAGCCATTGACTTGATAAAGCATTAAAAAGCTTGAAACAATTAGCAATACGCTGATTTACCAATCTTTTTTCAGAGGTCCGGATTATAAGACTTTCCAGTCTTGCTGGAAGTAATCAGAAGCTGACTAAAACTTCAATATTTACCTGGAGAGAGTTCCGGGGGTCAACGCCCCCGCGGCCCGGTCTGTGACCAGGCCTCCTTAATCTTTAAAAATAAAGTTGATAGTTTTACATGTTTATATGTGTGTATACGAGACTTTATTACTAAACTAATTAGGTTTTAAATAACAAGGGCTGAAAATGATGAAAGCGTACATTTTGGAACGTTTGATAACGAGGACCAAGGTTTCAAGCAGTCATTGTAATGATAATGATGCTGGTACGAGCCTTATGCCACGTTGAGTGAGAGAACACAGGCTGGGTTAGCGATCCTTCACTGAGTGCTCTCTGGAACATGACTCACCACAACGTAATGACACGATTGAGTTTTGTGACTCTGATCGCGGGTTCTAACCCTACCTGTTGTATGGTTTGATCTATGGAAAATATACTTCCAAGCTAGAACGTATATAGCGAACACAATGTTGATGCTTAGTTTAGATGTAGCCTAAACTTTAAAGAAAGAGCAAGATAGTAACAGAAATCTTACAGGAATAGAAACAAACGAGGGAACGGGTGGGATTTTGACCTGGAGTTCACCATAGCCACGCTGGTAGGGGATTCATTTGTGAAAAAATTGTAATTTTAGTCACAGTGGGGCCCATGCTAACCTCCCTGTGAGAAATATACCTAGGTGGACGAATCTGAGTGTAGCCAGCTGGCCCAGTAGCTTACGCACTGGCCTAGAGTTTACGACTCACTCGCCATCTGTCCAAACCCAAACCGTTCCGTGATTTGTTTACAATTGTGTTCTTAAGATTTCGTGAGTTACAGGAAAATATATTTTGAGATGAGTCAGGTGGGCCATGAGTCAGGCGGGCCATGAGTCAGGCTGGCCATGAGTCAGGCTGGCCATTACACAAGGTTAGGAGCACCAGAAACCTCTCCGTGTACAGTTGGAGGAGCTAACCTTCGGGAGTACCAGGAGCTACGCAAAGAGGCTTCCCTGATGTTATGTATGAGCTGACCAATGACAGCCAAGAACTCCATGACGTCTTTTCTGAGGACCCGAACCATCAGTTATAAGTCACTTGATTCTACATTATTAGCACCACACAATTCCACACTCACTGGCATTCAGTGAATCCTTTTACATAGAATGTTTCTCCAGTCTCGTGGTACGTGATTCTATGTATTATGATCCGTCGTTTATATTAGACACTTTTATACTAATCTTAGATCTAAGCGGCAGTCAGTGTAACGAGGAATTGGACACACTCGTCCTAATGAAGCTAAACAGATAACTAATGTTGCTTTGTAATTACGCTATATGTCACTGGAATTATTCCTATGAGCTTTAAATCACTATGTCATAAGTATTATTATCCGCTTACTGCGACCCACCGTTTACCTTCTGACTTGTTTACCTGGAGAGTTTACCTGGAGAGAGTTCTGGGGGTCAACGCCCCCATGGCCCGGTCTGTGACCAGGCCTCCTGGTGTAAGAAAAACTGCATTGTATAGAGCAGCCATAAGGCTTTTATCATTATGATTATTATTATTAATAGATTATCATTGTTATTATTACATATTTATTATATTACAGTACTATTATTATTACATTACTGTTATTATTACAGTATAATTACATTTAGAAGCCCTAAACTCATGGGGTCATACAACACTTAGAGAATGGGAGGCAATCAACTTTGATCCGAGGAAGGGGGAGACACATCTAATTCCTTGGATCAAGAGCCCTCACTGGGCAATCCCTTGGAAGGTTAGAGGGGCCACACAGCGTTACTCTGTGATCTAGGGGAAAGAGCTAAACCCGTATGGGAAAGTGGGAAGCAATCAGGTTCGATCGAAGGGAGAGAAGCGGATCAAAATCCTCGCATCAAGAGCCCCTCACCGGCATGGTGGAGGCTGGGCAGCGTCTAGGAAATGGTAGGTAATTCTAATTCTAAGCAAGTGGAGTGTATGAGAAGATGTGGCTGCTCCACCTCCTCGGATCACGAGCTCTTCAGTGGCATCAAGGCACTGACCGTGGAGGAAGAAATTACAATCTTAATGATCCTCGAGGAGCAGCTGTGTTGACAGATACTCCCTGTATACCCTCCACATGACTTGTGTTGACAGATACTCCCTATATACCCTCCACATGACTTGTGTTGACAGATACTCCCTGTATACCCTCCACATGACTTGTGTTGACAGATACTCCCTATATACCCTCCACATGACTTGTGTTGACAGATACTCCCTGTATACCCTCTACATGACTCGTGTTAATTAACAGATACTCCCTGTATACCAATACCGTGACTGGAATACACAAATAATTATTTGTGTATTCCAGTCACGGTATTGTGCCTTTTTATTGTTTTCAAGATGTATTCTGGATGATATACATCCAACACACACAGGAACAGTTAAGTACAACATACAGATGCTTAGATGAGAGCGCAGTTTATTTCTGTGTGTGTTCCTGGAGGCTGTGTGTATGCCCGGCCCACCACCAAGGAGCGACTAGGCTGGCCTGGCTCCCTCTACAACCAAGGAGCGGCTAGGCTGGCCTGGCTCCCTCTACAACCAAGGAGCGGCTAGGCTGGCCTGGCTCCCTCTACAACCAAGGAGCAGCTAGGCTGGCCTGGCTCCCTCTACAACCAAGGAGCAGCTAGGCTGGCCTGGCTCCCTCTACAACCAAGGAGCAGCTAGGCTGGCCTGGCTCCCTCTACAACCAAGGAGCAGCTAGGCTGGCCTGGCTCCCTCTACAACCAAGGAGCAGCTAGGCTGGCCTGGCTTCCTCTACACCCAAGGAGCGGCTAGGCTGGCCTGGCTTCCTCTACAACCAAGGAGCAGCTAGGCTGGCCTGGCTTCCTCTACAACCAAGGAGCAGCTAGGCTGCCCTGGCTCCCTCTACAACCAAGGAGCAGCTAGGCTGGCCTGGCTCCCTCTACAACCAAGGAGCAGCTAGGCTGGCCTGGCTCCCTCTACAACCAAGGAGCAGCTAGGCTGGCCTGGCTCCCTCTACGTCTAGACCAAAATAAAGAATACAGACTTGTGTATATGGACTTCCACAGTAATGGTTTACTAACCTTCAAGTTCATGTATAAGAAACATGTACAATAACCGAGTATCTTTATCATTTCAATACAGAGGTTGTTTGAGGTGTTGAAACTGGAGACTGTGACTCAGCTGAGCGGTGCGACACATGTTCCAGAAACATGTTAACTATTTTGGCAGAAATATCATTCTGCTTTCAGCTTTTACCGTATTTGTTCGTGTACCAGTAATGCTGATAAATACTGGCGTCTTATTAACGATGGCTCTATGTCATTAAATGTCCGTCTGTGTCTCTATGAATCACTCATGTTTGTGTTCATTGATCCTAAGAAAGACAGGCTTCTAAATGTCTCCCGCACATCTTGAAGTGTCCACACGAGACAGTGTAGACACCAGGAAGTAGAATAAGCCACTTTTGTGGAGAAATCTCTGATGAAGGCGGTAGGTATCGTGGAGACTGATGTCACTCTTGGCAAGTGCTTTAAGGCTATTGTTTAACACATGACCCCACGAGACGACCAGGTGGCGTGTCTAGCAGGTGTAGTAGTGAAGATGGTCACAGTACGTCTTCTACAGTTATATAAAGACGAGGAACTTCAGCTAGTGAAAATGCGTAGAGGCTTGTAGAATGTACATCGTTCTGGCGTAGAATGTACATCGTTCTGGCATAAAATGCCAACACGATGGAAAAATAGACACAAATGTAGTATAATGCGATCCTTTATTGACTACGTTTCTCCCAAACAGTGGACTTTATCAGGTTACAAACAGATGTGCCTGAGCAGACAGGTACAGGTAGTCGCCAGGACATTCTGGCCCGGGTCTTCTCTATATGGTGGCCAGGCCGTGACTCCCCATAGTGGGAGTGACACCTGAGCAGAGACTACACGGGTATATATAGGAATCACAGTGACGTGGAGAGTCAGGTGAAGAATGCTGAGAAGGTTGGATTTTAGAAGAACCTGAAAGGAATGGGTTTGTTGTTATGAAGGATAACGATCAAGAAGTTTCCTGGCCAGGGCTTTATCTAGGTTGTAGAAGCTGCTGTTTTTGTTGAAATTGTTGGATATACAGTTGAGTGATGATTTTAAGAGCCTGCTACATTGTCTTCTTCCCTGGTGATGAGTCTTGCTTCTGTGTCTTCTTCCCTGGTGATGAGTCTTGCTTCTGTGTCTTCTTCTCTGGTGATGAGTCTTGCTTCTGTGTCTTCTTCCCTGGTGATGAGTCTTGCGTCTGTGTCTTCTTCCCTGGTGATGAGTCTTGCGTCTGTGTCTTCTTCCCTGGTGATGAGTCTTGCTTCTGCGTCTTCTTCCCTGGTGACGAGTCTTGCTTCTGTGTCTTCTTCCCTGGTGACGAGTCTTGCTTCTGCGTCTTCTTCCCTGGTGATGAGTCTTGCGTCTGTGCAGTTGAAGGTATTTTTGCAGTCTACTAAGCCCCATGCTCTCATAGTGAGGGATATCACAGTATAGATTTAGGACCAGTTCCTCCAGAATTTTTCAGGTGTAAATTACGATGCATCTATTTTCACCTGAGTCCCAGGAACCACAGAATAATTTAGGTGCCTGCCTGAGTTTATAAGGACAGTGAAGGTTGTGTATACATTGTCTAGATCAGTGACAATGTCTGCCTTTAAAGAGTCTGCAATATGTCAGAGAACTGGAATATTGCAGAGTCTGCAGTGTTCCAGAGAACTGGAATATTGCAGAGTCTGCAATGTTCCAGAGAACTGGAATATTGCAGAGTCTGCAATGTTCCAGAGAACTGAATATTGCAGAGTCTGCAATGTTCCAGAGAACTGGAATATTGCAGTCTGCAATGTTCCAGAGAACTGGAATATTGCAGAGTCTGCAGTGTTCCAGAGAACTGGAATATTGCAGAGTCTGCAATGTTCCAGAGAACTGGAATATTGCAGAGTCTGCAATGTTCCAGAGAACTGGAATATTGCAGAGTCTGCAATGTTCCAGAGAACTGGAATATTGCAGAGTCTGCAATGTTCCAGAGAACATCATTTGTTCTAAATATCGAGCTTATCATTGTTCTTGTGTCACAACAACACACTTGCGATCCTTCCTTATAAAGTCTTTTGATATTATCACTTCTAAGTCCCTCACATTCATTTACCGCTCTATTAAGGTGAATTGATTTTGATTTATTCTCAATCCCAGTTTTCAAATCTAGTTTTTTCCACAGCGGAGTTACCTATATTTATCTTTATTGAACATAATATTGTTTTAATGGCCAACTGGAAGGTGAGATTTATATCAGCTCGGAGATCTGTTGTCATTTGACGTCATCCTAATGAGAATTCGTGTATCGTCCAGAAAGGAAGGTACAATGTGATGACTTATTCCACTCTACTTGGGATTTCAGACTGAGAAGAGATGGTGCGAGTACTGTGCCTCGGTGAACACAGCTTTCACTGTGTCATCTTCTGTGTTCACTATCCTCCTCTGATTTGTTAAACAAAAAAAAAATCGCCTGCACACTTTTAGCACATGTTTTATTTGTAATTACACTACGGTCACGTCTGCCGGAAGCTTTTGCAAAATTTACGTATACTACAGATGCGTTTGTTTATCCTCAAATGCTTCCGAGACCAGGTTATAATGGTCCGGCAGATGCGAGGGACAGGAACGACCCTTTCTAAGCCCATGTTGCACTAGGACTGTGCAACTGTCGTGACTAAGTAAGAGAGGTTATTCAGGTGTACACAAATACAGTTACAGAGATTATCATACATAGCACATTTTCCATTGGGGTCCTTTTAATACCACAAGTGCTGAGTATTATTTAATAATATTGAGCCTTCTTGTGTTATATAATAACCTTTGTGCATTAAACATTTCCTCATATGCTGATCATAATCATTATAATTTTAAAAATACAAATAGTAGAAAGGTATCGGCCGAAAATTGGGTATCAGTATAGACAAAAATTTTTGGTCTATCCGTAATATGTGGGTATTAAAATGATCTTTATCTAGACAATTAGAATTAGGGAATACCATTTTCCTGATAAAAATGGTGCAAATGATAACACCTACGGAGGAAATCTGCGGTGAATGTTTGGAAATATTATATAAAATTAGCAAGGTAACTGACCATGGTGGTAGGGAAGTAGACGATACAAGCCAGTAAGATGATCTTGGCGTTGATGGTATGATAGGGCTCACACGAGTGGTTAGAGACGTGGTTGAAATAGAAGTGTGGAGTAGGCAGGTAGACGGCAGCGTGGATCCCTGCACACGCCAACCACGACCCAACCACCACCACCACGCATACCTGGGGAGTACAGTGTAGAATGATAGTGTGGACACTCCCCAACAATCACCACGCATGCCTGGGGGAGTAGAGTATAGTGAGACACAGTAGTAACCCACCATCACTACCACAACCTGGGAGCAGGGTGTAGTGAGAGACAGTAGGAACCCACCATCACTACCACAACCTGGGAGCAGGGTGTAGTGAGAGACAGTAGGAACCCACCATCACTACCACAACCTGGGAGCAGGGTGTAGTGAGAGACAGTAGGAACCCACCATCACTACCACAACCTGGGAGCAGGGTGTAGTGAGAGACAGTAGGAACCCACCACCACTACCACAACCTGGGAGCAGGGTGTAGTGAGAGTCAGTAGGAACCCACCATCACTACCACAACCTGGGAGCAGGGTGTAGTGAGAGTCAGTAGAACCCCATCACTACCACAACCTGGGAGCAGGGTGTAGTGAGAGTCAGTAGGAACCCACCATCACTACCACAACCTGGGAGCAGGGTGTAGTGAGAGTCAGTAGTAACCCACCATCACTACCACAACCTGGGAGCAGGGTGTAGTGAGAGTCAGTAGTAACCCACCATCACTACCACAACCTGGGAGCAGGGTGTAGTGAGAGTCAGTACGAACCCACCATCACTACCACAACCTGGGAGCAGGGTGTAGTGAGAGTCAGTAGTAACCCACCATCACTACCACAACCTGGGAGCAGAGTGTAGTGAGAGTCAGTAGTAACCCACCATCACTGCCACAACCTGGGAGCAGAGTGTAGTGAGAGTCAGTAGGAACCCACCACCACTTCCATAACCTGGGAGCAGGGTGTAGTGAGAGTCAGTAGGAACCCACCACCACTACCACAACCTGGGAGCAGGATGTAGTGAGAGTCAGTACGAACCCACCACCACTACCACAACCTGGGAGTAGGGTGTAGTGAGAGTCAGTACGAACCCACCACCACTACCACAACCTGGGAGCAGGGTGTGGTGAGAGTCAGTACGAACCCACCACCACTACCACAACCTGGGAGCTGGGTGTAGTGAGAGTCAGTACGAACCCACCACCACTACCACAACCTGGGAGCAGGGTGTAGTGAGAGTCAGTACGAACCCACCATCACTACCACCTTTCTTAAATAATTTGGGAACATTCCCAATATGAGTAATTTCAAGCCTCAGACGAGAATATGAGAGACGCTGGGCCCATTAAGCAATCTCCTTATCATATAAACCAAAATAAAAAAAAATCTCATGGAAGAAGTAAATTTTTATAGCTTATAGTGAGATCCATGGTTCCATGTCCATGGTTCCATGTCCATGGTTCCATGTCCATGGTTCCATGGATCCATAATTCCTACAGCAGATACAGCTATAAGAGCGTGAACTAATTTGCAGAAATTTAACACTGTAATCAAAACAGATGGTTATCCATTACTGTGCATGAGCGATGTGCTTCATGTGGGCAGAAATAAATTTAAAAGCTAGAGTTCTTAAATAGTTATTATCAAAGTCGAATAACCCAGGAGGCAAGTGAGATCACAGTCTTTGTACAAGGGTTTTGCTCTTCGGGAATAAAAATGCATCTGTGAGCTTCCAGTGACGTCTCTATGAAGTGATGTGAGGAAGAAGTCAAACTTACACGACTTAGTAGTGTTTGGTGATTTATGCTAAAATTATTTGCAATGTATAGATTGTTTGAGCAGTTGGCCTAAGTTCTTTTGACAGCAAGTCTTGCTCATAGTAAGTCTGGCCAAGCCTATAGTACTTGTGTAGGTTACATGGTAAACCTGAGAGAAATGACTCCATGAATACTAAAGTGGATAGAACAGTCAACTTCTCTTGACCACAGAATAGTAAGGTAATGATATTTTTTCTGTGTTTGCTAGGCTACTGGAACAGTTTTCCACCAGACTATCAAAATTTACATGACAAACAGATTTTATCAGTTGAAAAATTAAATTTAATTTGGATGGAATATACCAGTTATGTTGTAGTGTTGTTCCAATGGACTGATAAAAAAGTTCTCAACCTGTGTTACCACTCAACCAACTTGAAAAGTCATCAGTGCAATATTACTACTGTTGCAAAGGAAGCACTTGCAATGGTGGTGTTAGTCTGAAGCTTAAACTCAGCACGGTGATTCTTCTTTAGTAACTCTATACACTACGGGTTTTACAGAATTAAATGTTACTGAAATGGGCAATGTTTCTTCAGCCTTATGATTTAAAAGTAGAGTATGTGACTGACACTGAGAATATAGTAACTGGGGCACTCTCCTAACATTGAAATCAATATTTTTATATCCACAATTAAAATGTAGTTAGGTTCCGCGTTATTCACTTGGAGATTCTGCAGTCATGTCCACTGGTAACCTGCGTCCTCCTAGTCACCCAAAAGAGAGAGAGAGAAATAGACAGAGTTGAAGGTGAGAATCTCGAGTCTCAAGTACATACTTTAATTGATGAGGCTGAGTTTAGAACCTTTACTGAATAAGGAGTTCCAGGATGGTATGTACTATGCATAAGCAAGTTTTTGTGTGTTGATCTACGTAAGAAGGACGAGGTGTTGGTACTGGGATGTATGGAGGGTACCCACGCCAGAGTCTGACGGTTTTAAGATCATCAGTGTTGACTGGATGGTCTCATCATTGTCTGGCTGCAGTTGTCACTGTGAAAAATACTGTATATATTTTCCAGAAATACAGTAGTTATTAAATGTAAATAGATGGCCATACTGTATTTAAAATTTATGTAATCGAAAACGGGAAGCTGCTCCTGCGCAGAAGGGACACTCGCCATCTTGGTTTTGAATTGGATACAACGTTAATATAATGGGAAGAATTTTTCGTGCTCTAGAGGTTAAAATTGGATTGATACCTCTCAAATAGGAGGCGAAATTGTTGGATGTGCATTCCTGCATAACTTGAGATTTCAGACGACTGGACAAGATAGCTCCAGGAACCTCAGATAAGCTCTCTAGATTTGTGTATAATTCTGGCCAGTGTTTTCATAAATTTAGTTAGTGAGGTTTTTCTGAGTATGATACAACTTAATATCCGGTCAAATTGGTGAGTGATATTAAGATATATTTTCCATCTGTTATGTATATGTGAGTTTATATATAATCATTTTTTAATATACAGTCCACAAATTTATATATTTACCAGTATTCCTGGTGATGTATATTTCATCTAATTAATAGGTCCAGAGCAACTTGTGGATATGACAGTGGTAGGTATCGAAGGGGGACATTTTTTGCGACCTAGGTGTCCCAAATTCCTACTTGTCTAACTGATAAATAATAATTATCTGTTCATTTACCGTTATGTACATAATGATACATTCAGCTAAATGCAATTTTCCACAGTCACAATCACTTTGACATCAATAAATCTGATGACTGAGACACTTGTGCAACACTTGGGTACCTCTATTGTGGGCAATAAAGCTTCTCAAGTGTTGCACAGATGTCCCAATCATCAACTTTTCGTTTCTCTGAACCATTTATTTACAATCAATAAATTTGGTATCAGTTGTTTACTTCTCTTTTGTTTATCTTATTTTTACTTTTGCTTTGTTTCAAACATTTTTTGATGAGGATGACGTCACTCAGGAGTACAGCTGCTGCTTCCTTAGTGATCACAATAAAACAGCTGAGATTAACGTAGGTAATATTAATTTCACTTGGTTCGGTTGTAATATCAATGAGTAAGTTTATTGTTCTATGTCAGTAAGAAAAGAATTTTGTTGGGAAGTTTTACTGGGAATATCATTAATAACTTCGAGTTGTTAGTTCATCCTTCACGTGTTAAAACCTGGAGTTTTGAGAATTGTGTATTAGTTTAAATTTTATTTGTTGAATTTCTGTAATGAGTTGTGTTACTGTGATGAGTCTGCGTATGGGATCATGTATTTTGTGATGTGTCAGAAATATTTCCAGAGTACTGTGTAGGTGAAGACTAGATTATTGGATGTGTAAAATAGTGAGGGATGCTTATTCTATCCCTTCTCTTCGTCTTCCTCCTCACCATGCCACCTGTCTCCCGTACTGTTGCTCCCTTGTCTGTGGCTTGGTTGATAGCGCACTCGCTTAACACACTGAGTGCCCGTGGTTTTAATCCCAGGTGCAAGTGGTTACGTTAATAATGTAATAATAATAATAATAATAATAATAATAATAATAAAATAATAATAATAATAATAATAATAATAATAATTATTATTATTATTATTATTATTATTATTATTATTATTATTATTATTTTATTATTATTAATATTTTATCATTTTTTTTATTATTATTACAATTATTATTATTATTATTATATTATTATTTTATTTTTATTATTATTATTATTATTTTTTATTTTTATTTTGTTGTAGGGGTACAAGGATACCCTCCTTCCCCAGGGCAGGGAGGGTTATCCTAGTCCAACCCACCCTTCCCGGGGGTTACCCTGAGGCCTAACCCCACCCTTCCCGGGTTATCCTACCCTACCCACCCTTCACGGGTTACCCAAAGAGCCAAACCCGACACTTCCGGGGGTTATCCTAGTGCCTAACCAAACCCTTCCCGGGGGTTTACCCTAGTCCCAACACACCATTCCCCTGGGTTATTCAGGTGCCAAACCCACCCTCCCCTGGTTATTCGGGGTGCCAAACCCCCCCCTTTTTCCCTGGGTTATTCTGGGTGCCAAAACCACCCCCCCTTGGTACTGGTGCCAAACCCCACCCTACCCTGGTTATTCTAGGTGCCTAACCCCCCCTACCCGGGGTTATTCAGGTACCTAACCCACAATCCCCGGGGTTTTATTTAGGTGCCTAAACCACCCACCCGGGGGATTATTCGGGGCCAAACCCACACTACCCGGGTTATTCAGGTGCCTAACCCGCCCTCCCCTGGGTTATTCTAGGTGCCAACCCCAAACCCTCCCCGGGGGTTTTTAAAGGGCCAAACCCCCCCCCTACACGGGGTTAAATTCTAGGTCCCAACCCGTCCAACCCGGGGTTTTCT